CTGTTTCTCTCTCTCCCTCTCTCTATCTCCCCCTCATCCATCATTCAGTTTTCCACGTGGCTCAATAATCATCTCTCAGTTTTATTTTATTGATAGGTTAAGATGACGTCACAGTGAACTAACACCTGAAGTTTTACGTCATAATTCCCGCCGATGTCTCCACTCATCCTCTGACCGAACAAACTCACCTGAGTCCGGGCGGAGATGGAGCTTTCTGCCTCCGGCTGCTCCAGGTTCCGCATCGACTCCCTGCTCTCCCTCAGGCCGCCCGGCGGGCTCCTCTCCCGGGCAGACCCTCCGGAGCTCAGCCCGGGCGGCAGCAGCGGCTGCTCGGCGCCTCCTTCCCCGCGGAGAGAGCTTGTTCCCCGGCTGCAGTCTGCTCTGCTGCCCCGCACAGTCGGCTCCTCTTTTCTGATCCGGGATATCTTAGCGGACTGTCGGCCCTACTCTCACCCGGGACAGGTCCACTCTGACCCGGGACAGCCTGGGCTGGAACCCGAGCCGTTCCAGTCCGGACCGGAAGAAGACTTTCAGGATAAAAGCAGCTCCTCTTCAGACAGCGAGAGTAGAGGTAATCAATAACATAAGCAGATCAATATTTGATTTCAGTTGATTATAAAAATTTAAGTTAGAATCAAACGGAGTCGTTTTACTGACATTTAATCATTTAATCTGGTTAAATATTATATCATTATATTAATTCTCACTAATGATAATAATAATATTAAGTATTAATAATAAAGTGTTTTAATCTGAAAACTGAAATTTAAAATGATTTATTAAAGTAAAGTCTGATTCAAAACATCACAAATATTATTATTGTTTTTATTCGCAGAAAATAAAAAATACGATTTTGTGAATAAACTGATATTTTATTGCTACCTGATAATGACTTTCTTCTTCCTATAACAACAACAACAGCAGCAACGATAATAATAATAATAATAATAATAATAATAATAACGAGGTGATATTTTGAGTTTGCTGCCAGATATAAAATCATAATTAATCTGATTTATTCTGTTTATTATTTTATTGAGTAAAAGATGAAAAATAAAAATTAAGTTTAGATTTTTTTATTTAGATCAAATCAATTTCTTCATTTTTTAAAGTAAATCTTAATAAAATTTCAGTAGTTTATTAAACATTTGTCTGTTTTTTTGTGATTACAAATAAAAATAATGTATTTTTATTTATTCTGCTGCTTTAATTAAAGATGCATATAATGTTGAACTATTCATTAATTATTCATCCAAAAATGTCAAAGACATTTTCTTTGAATTAGATTAATTTTAATGTGAAAAATAATCTGAAAATATTATCATAAATATTATCTGCAGGTTCAGACAACCTTCACTGGTTCACTGGTTTAACTGGTTTCAGTTCTCAGAAAGGTCTCTGGTGTTTGTTATTAATATTTTGAGGTTTTTATTTAACTGAAATTAAAATGTGAATGAATCTGACAAGCTGATCTGAATTCAGTTGATGATGAATGACCTCTGACCTGAGATATTCCTGCTTTTACAGCCCGTGGTTCCCAACCTGAGGGTCGCAACCCCTAATTCACTGTAAAATAAGAAAATGTTATTTTTACAATAAAAAGCTGTAAATGCCAGAGCTTAAACCGTAATACAGTAGAACAGTTTCTATTACAGTAATTATTACAATATTAGTGCTGTTATTATATTATTATATATTTTACTGTATAAATACAAATAATATAAAGTAAAATAAACTGTTTTATTGTATATGAAATATATAAACGTGTGACGGTGGTTTTTTACAGTCTGTAATATAAAAAAATATTTTATTCTGTTTAAATCCCTTTAAAATGTCGTATAAATAAAGTTTTATATCAGTGTTCACTGTCACAGAAACTTTAACCTATTTAGAGTTTACGGGTTTGACAATTTTTCAAAGTAAAATCTACAGACATTTTTAACAGTGTAACGTTTATCATTATTATTATTTTTATTATTGTTTAATATGAAATATACAGAAAATACCATCAGTTTACTCACTGATAAACATTTTAAATCTAAAAAATAAAAACTGAACCTTCAGGACCAGAAACCAGGACTGGCTTACACCACTATGAGCGATGAACGTGAACCACTAAGTGGGTCAAGCTGTCCCTGTCCTGGGGGTTTTGGGGTCCCTTGAGGTCCCTTGAGGTCCTGTTGGGGCCCCAGGCTCTACTCATTGATCCAGATTCTGATTAAAACTCCGACAGTCAGACACAAACAAGGCGACTCTTATTAAAATTAGATTTATTCTCTGGAATCAACTTTCAGACCTTGAAAGCAGAAAACTGATTCAAGGATTTTCCAGGACCTGCACAGATGAGGGCTTTAATGATTACTGATCAATCAATCATTTCCACCTGTCAATCACTCAGGGCAGGGCGGGGCCTCGGACCCAGCGGAGGCTCGTCTGAAAAAACCTCGTAAAGCACGGACGGCGTTCAGCGACCAGCAGCTGGCCCGGCTGGAGAGGAGCTTCCAGAAGCAGAAGTACCTGAGCGTCCAGGACCGCATGGAGCTGGCTGCGTCCCTGCAGCTCAGCGACACCCAGGTCAAGACCTGGTACCAGAACAGGAGGTAACACATCACACACACACGGACGGATATAACGAGACAATGGGGCCCCCAGTCCTGTAGGAGGAGAACACAGACTGACCTAAAACCACCACAGATGACGTCTGTGTCTCTGTGGTGGTTTTGGGTCTTTGAACCTGTCTGTCTGTCTGTCTGTGTGTCTGTGTGTCCAGTATCGCTGCAGATACACATGTGAGATTAATAATGGACGCTGTGTGATCAATAATTCAGCAGTGTGTGCTGTAATTAATGATCAATAATTCATGCAGAAACAAATCTGGAGCTTTTAGTGCAGAATCACGGAGAGCTCGGAGAGCAGGAGGACGCAGCGATTGTTTATTTATTGATTTATTGTTATTGTTTATTGTTGCACAGAGAATGCTGCTCTGTGATTGGCTGCAGGACATTAACCATCAATGCGTTCTTTCAGAGTCGTAGTTTTAATTGTGATTAAACGAGAGAAACAAATTAAATATAAACATTTAGTAATTATAAATTAATATTCTGTGTTTGAATCTAAATCCTGTTTCCTCGTCAGGACCAAGTGGAAGCGGCAGTCCGCCGTCGGTTTGGAGCTGCTGGCTGAAGCCGGCAGGATGTTCCTGCCCTCGCACTACCTGTACCCTCCTGCCCCGCCCACACTGGACCTGTACCTGTACAGAGGCCACGCCCCCCACCACCACCACCACCA